GAAGAACTTTTGAAGTGAGAGGTTTAAAAATGAGTGTTGACGTTTTTGGACGACAATTAGCGAAAGATATTGTGAAAAGTGCTGTTCGTGGGCCTCCTGGTGAAGGATTCAAATTAACTGTGGATCAACAGTTTGACATGGATAATAAGAGATTGTGTAATCTCGCTGAACCAGTAGATTTGAATGATGCAACATCATTAGGAGTAATTGAAAAAAAGATTACAATTTTAAAAAAATTTATTGAAATAGAATTACGTCTGTTACGCGAAACTGTAGCAAATTTAAGAAGAATTGTTGAAGAAAATAGAGAAAGAATCAAAATCATTAATGTTCAAGTAGAGCAACATATTGAATCATCACAAGAACATCGTAAACGTCTGAAAGAAGAATTGAATGAAACAATTGAACTGCATGAGTCAGATCGATTACGTTTACTGGAAAAAGCAAATCGTAAACAAGCTGAAAGTATTAAACAATTGGAAGAAAATATTCGGAAATATCTTGATCAGCAGCATCATGAACAAGGAGAAAAAAATAATAACTGAAGAGCTGCATAGACCGGTCAGAAGAAATTATCAACGACGACATGTTGATATACGTGGGCTTGATGAAACTTGGCAAGCTGATCTAGTTGACATGACAGCATATAAATCTTATAATAAAGGTCATCAGTATTTATTGACTATTATTGATATTTTTTCAAAATACGCTTGGGCTGTGCCCACAAAATCTAAAAATGGTAAAGATGTAGCCCATGCAATGAAATCGATTCTATCACAAAAAAGAGTGCCAAAATTTTTGCATGTTGATAGAGGAAAAGAATTTTACAATAAAGAATTTGAAGCACTTATGAAACAATATAATATCAAAATGTATTCCACATTTAGTAATCTTAAGGCATCTATATGTGAACGATTTAATCGCACGTTAAAAAGTCAAATGTGGAAACAATTTACGTTGCGAGGTAATTACCAGTGGATAGACATCTTACCAAAATTGATGACATCATATAACAATAGCAAACATAGAACCATCAAAATAAAACCGATTGATGTTACTTCAGCCAATGAGAAACAATTACGTCATACTATCTACAAAATAAACTTGACTTAAGTTCAACAAAAATAAAAAAGACTAAATTTAAGGTTGGGGACAAAGTACGCATAAGTAAATATAAGCATGTCTTTGAGAAGGGATACACCCCTAATTGGACAACTGAAATCTTTAATGTAAGTCAAGTATTGAATACTGATCCAGTAACCTACAAGCTTGTCGACTATCAAGATCAACCGATTGAAGGAGGTTTTTATCAAGAAGAATTGACTAAGGTTCAATACCCTGATATTTATTTGGTAGAAAAAGTTCTGAAAAAACGTGGTAATCAAGCTTTTGTCAAGTGGTTAGGATTCGATAAAACACACAATAGCTGGATTAACATAAAAGATTTATAATGTCTCTAACTGATGAGTTAGAAACAATGACTGCCAAAATGTCTTTAGCTGAAGAGCTAGAAACAATGGCTGACAAAATGTATAGTGATGCTCAAAAATTACCACGTTATACAAAAGATAAAGCTGCTAATATTAAATGGATATCTTTAACTCATAAAGAACAACAACAAATTAAAAGAGAAAAAAAAATAATTAAACGTCTTGATAAAATGAATAAACGAATGTTAAAAGAAATTAAAAAAAATAAGACCAATAAGAATGAAGATGATTTTGTCATATTATTTGTAGAAGATGAGTTCAATACAAACTAATGTAAATAATTTATAATATTTTTTTTTATTGAATAAATTTTTTTTTTCTTACAAATTATTTTTTTTTTTAACATAAACCTCATATTTAAAATAATTTATTTACACTATTTAATATAAATTATAACCCCAAGGAAGTGTATCAGTTGTTTGTGCTAGAAGAACTCTTTTATTGTCTTCCCAACTTAATGCTAATTTTTGTCTACTAATTGTATGTACTTCATGTTTCTTGCTGACTATATGATATTCCGTTTTACATAATTGTTCATGATTAAGTAAGCATTTTTTGTAATCATCAAATGTTATAGATTTTATTGTTGCAGTTTTGACACCCTTTGCTTTACTATATTTGTCTTTTTTATTTTGAACTTTAAATGTGTACATTTTTGCTTTTAGACCAATGAATTCCGTCATTATTTCACCTTTATTTTCATCTTTCATAAGGCCTACAATTTTTTTATTAACTAATGGAATATTAAAACGGTTATTTGGTGGATAGTCTGAGGTGTCAAATTTATGTATATTATCTTTGATGCAATCATAAATATCAGCATTGAGAAATTGATAAATTAAACTATCTGTATCTGTGTATAATAATTTTACCTGATTGTCTGTAAATTGTCTTTTAATTAAATTGTAATGGAAGTCATAAATAAACATTTTTGAAAGATCTAAAACTACAAATCCTACGTATATCGGCTTATTGAAATATATATTTTTTCGCTTCAATTCTATTATTACCATGTCATTGTCAAAAATTATACTATTGTGGAATTTTGGAGAGGCAATGAGATTTTTTGCACCATACCGACCTTCCCACTGTGTAACTAACTTTACATCTTTATACTTCCGAACGTTTTCCATTGTTTTTCCGTAAACTGCATTATTCATTAATTTATATGAATTCTTTTCAAAATCATTTTTAGATTTTTTTCGTAAATCTGTATTCAGATCTACATACTTCTTCATCCATGGTGATTGATTAAATTTAAGGCTCTATGGATTTTGGTTACAATCATTCCTAAATCGAGACATTGTTTTAAATTTCTGTAGTGAATCACATATTCAAGTTTAGGTAATAATGTCGTCATAAGTTTGCTGCTATTGCTGTTTGGAGGTTTACGGTGTTCAGGACACAATGGCAAATCTTTATGATGCTCGTGTAAGATTTTTGGATACTCTAAATCAACCTCGAAAATGTAACCAACTGGAGAATCATTGGAGATATTTTTAATTATTTCACAGATATTAGAAATATTGATGTCATCTTTCACCCATTCAAATGATCCAGTTGGTAGGTACTCACTCATTGCTGCTCCATACAAATTATTTACATCAAAATACATGAGATATGATATATTTTCATTGGGGTTATAATCATTACACATATACGGGTTATTTGCTTTTGCATATCTATTTGAACACTGTGCCACTCCTCCTCTAATACCTTTTTCTATGAAATTAAGCATTTCCACATTGTCCAAGAGTTCGAGTTCAATTTCTGTATATTTCAACATAGCATCAAAAGCTAATCCAGGTGCAGTGTAGTAATGTAACGGATCAAGCTCATAAGTAGAGATACAACTTTGTCTAAAATTTTGAAAAATGTCTGCTAACAGAAGAACGTCTGTTTTTAAATATAAATCTGAATATTCACCGAGGGTGTTTAGTTGAAATTGATCCCAAACGTGGCGTGCATGTTGGTAATCGTCATCGGAAATGGCCGAATCGTTGAGTTTCGAATAGAATTTTGTTTTGTCAGGTAGTTGTCGTTCGTCAAGTTTTTCCCAACTGTCAATACATTCATATGGGAAAACACCTTTACGAGTTACTAACTGAAATTTATCTGGCTCGGGATAGAAACTTTTGGTAATTGATTTTGCGTTATTATCCAAAAATGATGCAAGTTTCTCAATACTATTGCTCATGAATCGGAAAGAATCAATAAATCGTAATTTAACAAATATTTCTTTTTTTCTTTTTTCGTGGGAAATTTTCTGATCAACTGTTTTTGTAAATGCTATGTATTTTTCTTTATTGACAGGTAATAATTCCATATAACCTTTAAATGATGCAGCTAATGATTTAATAAAAAAATGTGAGTCATATCCTGAGAGGTTATGAAAAATGACTGGAATTATGCATGAATTTTGATAATTTAAATTACAATTAACATGAGCAGCGCCTCGATAATTGCCTGTAAAGTGACAGTGATCATGTACTTTCGTTTCATCATGTAAAAATGATTTATTACAATGTGACAGATTTTTGCATTATGAAAATCGTTTAACTGTTGGGATGTTAATGGTTTCATTGGTACTGCGTTTTCTAGGTAAGTTTTGACAGTTTCAGCTATTTTTTTCAACTCAGTCATGAACCAGTTTATACAATTAACGTCACGTTTAAGATTAAATCGACATTTTGAATTGTCATATGTACAGTGCATATAATAGGCTACACTACATGGAATATGCTTTTGATTACCTTCATTATCAGGTTCAAGAATACTCTCAAGATCGGCATAGATAGCAAATGGCACAGGCTGTTTAAAATGAAAATTTTTAAATTTTATTTTAACACCTTTTTCCGGAAGTGAAATTCGCGTATCATTCATATTGATACAATCTTTTTGATGATTTTTATATGATTTTTCTATCTTAAAGTGATTTAAACATCTATCACATAAGAATAGTTTGTGTGCATTTTTAGAAATTTGATTTCCAACTAATCTTGAAAGATCCTTTATCAGACAAAAATGAAAAACTGGATTAATATTATTATTTTCATCACCTACTTCTACTCTACTTTGTACCATTAACAGGTGAATACATGGCTCATCTACTTCATAATATTTACTTAAATATAACGGAATAATTTCACAATTATTATCTAAACCATACGTACAGTCATCTAAACCATACACATTTATTGGTAAATCGTTGAGTTTTTCAAATTTTGGAACATCATGTAAGGTTGTGGGACAGTTGATACCCTCACATTTTAACACACTTTTGTAATCAGGATATGAACTTGTTCTTGTTGAATTTACAAAAACAGGATAAAGAGCTGCAGTAACAGCCCAAAAGAAACAACATTGATCGTTGTTTTTAATATTTAGTATTGCTTTTTTTTGTTGTATAAATTTTGGTAGAGGTATAAATGTAGATTGTCCAGCTAATAGAGGTTGATAACGATTAATATTGACTTACAGATATTCAATTTCTACAAGTGACCAACCAGAATCTCGTTCTTGAAAATCCTCGACTTTTGTTAGTAGTTTGTCAACAACATTTTCCAGAAAATGTTTTTTTATGTCTGTTGACGGCAAAATTGCTTCATTTTTAACATTAAAGTACTTAATTTCTACAACTGTTCCATCATTTGTTTGATTACTGAATTTACAAGCAAGGACAAAGTTCACTTTTAAATTTCCCTCACTTGTTACTATATCTGTCAACTTTTCGGTAATCAGCTTTTCAGCGTCCAATAAGAAGTCTCGTAAATTTAAATGTTGCAAGTTAATGACAACACCAGTGCGAATTCGATTTTGGAAAATATTTTCTAAATCTTTCCATCGAATCAATTGTTCTGTTGATTGAAGGCTTCCTCCAACGATTGAATGATTTATAAACTTTTCATGTAATGTTGCGAGTGCTGCAATTATCGATTGAATTCGTTGTTTTTCACCAACCGATAAACCACTCGATTGCAAATGTCTGTTTAATGTAGTAATATTGTCACTACTAATTCGCACCCACTTATCAATGATTTCACTAGATTCATGATTCAAAGATGGTAGAAGAGTATAAGCCTCCTCCATCATTTTAATTAAATCAGAATAATAGTTTAATGCACTCATTTCTTTCGACTATACTAGACAAACTTCAGAATTACAATGATGAAAAAGCGTGTTTGAAAAGATTTATATAGGATTTTGGATGACCTTGTAATGTGGTGCCATAATCCGAAAAAATTTCTTGAAAGTTCGAGAATATCAATTACCAAATTTAACCGTCATTAAATAACGATTTTCTTAAAATGTAGAGAGGGGAAATATTTAAATCAAAAGAACAATAATTTCAAATATTTATTGTATTCATTATTTTTGTAACATGAAAATTTTTTTTTAGATTACATTGATTATCGTAAGATTTACATTTCATCAATTGTATCCATTATATTTTTTTTGTTTGACATGTAAAATTTTAGATTACATTTCATCATCAACTATGAATTCAAAAGAATTGTTAGCTCCACCATGGTACAACAATGATAATCTGTTGTCAACGGCCAACTCAACCAATTTTTCAAATTCTTTATGATTTTCCAAAATTTTCACCGTTCTTGGAGGTAAAAATATCATGTAGCTATTTTTAACTGTTGCCACAACTTTTGTTCCATACACAGTTTCAAGTTCTTTTAAACCAGTAATTTTATACGTTTTAGACGGTTTTAATGTATCCATCTTTTTGGTTGGTAAGTACGTCTCACACTTGGCAATTTTATTTACTCTTGATAGATCCATTTTTACTGTTTTGAATTATGTATAACAATGTATTTCTCACAGTTTCAATTGATCAGTGATTTTAAACATGAGTCGCATGGGTATAAATACAATTCATCCCCTCCAAAACAAAGATTCCAAAATGTTTCAATTTTTGATGCAATCATAAATTAAAACATGCATAAAAAAACGTTTGCATAATGTTTCATCATCATCCCCCGCTGAAAACTTCCAGAACATGTCAAGGCTGTGAATCAGCCCTGAGATCATTTAAATTCTTGCTTGATTTTCCAAGAAAAAATCGAATGCATAATGTTGCATCATCATTCTCGCTGAAAATTTCTAGAATATGTCAAGGCTGTGAATCATCCCTGAGATCATTTAAATTTTTGCTTGATTTTTCAAGAAAAAATCTTGAGGGGTTGGCATGATGTTTCATCATCGTTCTTGCTGAAAATTTCAGACTATCGAAAATTACATATAATGAAAAAAAATATAATTTTATAGACAATCGTTGTAGTGATCAAACAATAAAATTAGATATTATAATTTTAAAGTGGGGATAAACATATAAATAGATGATTTACCAAAAAAACTTCTCAGTTGGGTTTTACATTTTGGCATGTATACAAATTTTTGAGCACATCATGGAAATGATATTGGATGTTCAAGGTTTCAAGCAGCCAAATAATCAGTTTTTAGTGAAAGAATTGGCGACTATTACAATCCAAGATAATAGTGATGGTATGGAAGACATTTCAGTGATAATTTTTAAACCGCCATATCAGTGGGAATATTTACCTGAAAAATATAAATGCATAAATTCGTGGTTGATACGTAATTATCATGGCATTCCATGGAAATCTGGAACAATACCATATGATAAACTTCCATACATTCTTCGTGTACTTGTTAAAGATCGAGACCGTATTTACGTGAAAGGAGATGAAAAGAAAAAATGGTTAGAAAGTTTAATTGACAACTCAAAAGTTGTAATTAATTTGGATGAGCTTGGATGTCCTTCGCTACATGTTCTGGATATGAATCATCTAAGAGATTGTGGGGTGCATAATGGAGAAAATAAAAAATGTGCAGAAAAGAATGTAAAAATTCTAAAAGCATGGTATATGGTGAATTTTCATGAAAAAACCCCATTTGAGAAGTCATTCAAATTGTATTGTTTATTAAAAAATATAACAAAAATGTCAAGTGAAGATATTGCTTGTCTTCCAAAGTATTTTTTCTTGAAGATTGTTCCAGAATACATCGACGATATTTGGGATAAATTACCGGAACATTTACAACTCGATAGAGATATCTTATTGCATCGTAAATGTTACAAACATTACATGTCATTAGATCATACAAGAACATTGAGAATTAATTGTATTGATTGTAAAAAAGAAAAATTCATTCATTCAAATACATAAAATAAAAATGTATAATTTTTATTTCTTAAATAAAAATTCTTTCTCAAGATAAAAATCTTATTATTATTGTTAAAGAAGTCATTTAACGTAAATAATTATAAATCATAGTTCAGAAAATATAAAATGAAAAAGATAATAATTTTTCGTTTCAATAATTTTTTTACATTTAAAATACGTTTAGTTATGATTACTCATACAGTAAATAAAATATTTCAATTGATTATTCATAATATGTATTCTGTCTTACTTCAATAAGTAACAGAGAATGAGAGCATAAACAAAGTGAAAAAGAGATAAGGGTGAGGAAAATATGATGCAGTCGACCGACTGAGTCAAACGTTAACGTTTCTAAATGAAATGAAATAAGTCGATTATTTTTCGACACATGGCCCTTTCAACTCTTGCATGAATCACAGCTTCTTAGCGGAGAATAAAAGTATAGACAAAGTGAGGAAGCGGTGGCGGAGCGAGGAAAAGAAGATAGCAGAGGCATGAGCGACAAAGAAAACGCGTTTAATTAAAAATCCAATCGAAAAAATATGTGTCTAAAATTATTTATCTATAGTAGAGATCGTTTACAAACTATTTTAATAATTAAAAAGAAAAAAAATGTCATTTATAAATTTTTTTTAGTGAGAATTTTTTCTTGTTGTCAAATTCTTTTCTTTATCTGTAATTTGATGCTGAGTGATGTGATCAAGGCCTCTCTATATAGATTTAAATCAATATCGTTCAATGATTTTTTCACCATTGGCCTCTTTGAAAAATATAAACATTTAGCCATGGTGTATGATGCATAGGACAAAATATTTAGTTCATTTTCGACAGTCAAACTGATCAAACCATACCAAGTAAGTAGTGACTTTTGCTTCATTCAAGTATAAAAAGTGTGTTTTTTTTTTAATTTTTATGCATTAATATAATTATTTATTGAGTGTAATTGTGAATTTTATAAATTGTTAAATGATAATTTATCAAGTGGGAGAATTTTTCTTTTTTTAAGTTTGAAAACAATCTATCATAATCGTTATTACTTTTTAGAAAAAGATGTGCACTTTTATTTTTCCGGAGGCCTGGTTCGACCTACCGATCACCCTCCTAGAAATTATTATTCTAATGACACTTGAAGATCATTGGGAAGAGACGGGAGGGATAGAAGGCGCTACCCTTACACTTTGTGGCGTAACGGCTACCTGCCTAACGTTCCCCGGTAACGTCATATGGTTCCGGATAGAAGGAGACATCTCCGTCGTGCCACCACCTCTAAGCCAAGAAATCATCACTGTCGAAGACAGTGATAGTGAGGTAGAAGTTCTACCTCCTTCTCCAGCGACTGTGTCATCGGAGGATAGTGAGGTAGAATTTCTACCTCCTTCACCTCCAACAATTGATGACGATGATAATTATGATGATGATTCCACTGACTATGATGATGGTTATGATACTGTAAGTCTTGTTTTATGATTAGTTTTTCTAGTTTTACTTATATGAAAAAGTTATTAAAGCAAATAATTTTGATTCTTACAGGTAGATTAATGCTACTTGGGAACCATCATTCAAGGGATCATTATTTTTTTATAAAAAAGAAAAAATATATTATAATTTTTTTTTAATATTGACTTGAAAGAGAAATTGTTTTTACTCTAAAACGTTTTCCCAATCATCTAACATCCTTGAGACACATCATCGCCATTTTTTTTTCTACGGTTATTTTTTTTTGCTGATAATTATAATATTATCGCTGAAGATAATTTATCACCAATCAGGATCGGTAAAAAAAAAATCGCTGCCGATAATTTATCAGTGTCGATAACTTATCGCGGTCGGTAACTTATCGTCAAAGTTATCGCGGTCGGTAATTAGTGCGGATCAGAACCCACTTTTTTTGACTTGGCCGGTATTGCAGAGTGATCCAGAACCGGCCCTGCTTATCTACTTAGGTACCTATGCATTCGACATTATTCTGATAAACTGAAAAGATAATAATTTATTTACTACACTTGAAACGTAATCTGAAAAGATTCTAACAATCTAACATGATTATCATCTATTCCATACACTTGTTACACATTCTGAATAGTTTCTAACTGGATTCTTACTAACGTAAAAGATCAATATCCAGTAAATTAACCATTTACTTATTTAGACTAAATACTGACCATTCAGCATGATTATCATACTTACTATACACTTTTTACTCTTTAATCAACCATTTAGAAGCAATAAACCGTCTCAGTTGCGGATGGGGTCTTGACCATCGTTGTCTTAGTTGTGGACAGGGTTCATCGAGGTTGTGATCATTGTCTTGGATGTCATCTTCGCCTACCAGTACAAAACTCTGAAAATGGAAAGGAATAGGTACAAGAAGTGATGCTTATTGGTTTAAACATTACTTGCCAATTTCTACAATTTTGTAAAAACATCTTACTTTCTGTAATATACCCCTTCCCCTAAGTTTTTAAAGGCAGAATCAACTTACCAATCTCGACAATTTTGTAGAAACATCTTATTCTTTGGATGCCAATTTTCATTAAATTCATCTGTAAGGTGGAACATACTATTTTGTTGGCGGAACTAATTTCTAGTACTACTCTGATACGAGACTATTTCCTTATTGGCCCCATCTGTAATAGAGACTATTTTGGTCGAGACCCCGTCCGCAATTGAGACATTTTATTGCACCATTTTCAGTCCTCGTCCGCAATCGAGGCGCAGCTTCTCATATTATCTTGGACAAAGAGATAAGCAGACAGACAGGCAAAAATGAAAAATGGTAATTTACGTATCAACAACATGCGATTATCCGTCTAGGGTTAATCTGAGACAGTTTCTTTAAAATCACAGACAAACACTCTAATTGTATGTACATATATAATTTATTATGTATGCGCTTAGACAGAGTATTAATTTTTGTTCTGTTGATTCTTGCATTTGAAAAACAAGAAATATTTTTTTTAATCTCTAATTCTGATAGCAAACAATCGATATGCGTATTGCACAGCATTAACTACCTTAGAGACCATCTGTTATTTAGTTATGCCTGGCTTAAATAATTTATGAAGGAACCAGAAAAGTACTAATCGAATATTTAACACATGTGGGTGTATAAATTCATAAAAGAAACATTTCAAATGTGTTAACATTTTAATTTTCTGTGCGTTATTCCAAATTTCGAAGGGAGTCTTAAATATTACCAAAGGGTTATTGTTAACGAACCTTACAGTGAACAATCAGGGAGTTTCCACACTCAAACCTATGCGATATTGTAGTAGTAGTTTCATAAAAGCAACTGAATTCGTTGTAGCAAGAAAAAAGTTTCTTATTGAAAAAAGAAGAAATAGAGGTACTAAATATGATAAATGTTGGAAGAATGATTATTAACGATTGTACATTGACTTCAACACCTAGTTACTGCTAATAAATAAATTGCAAGTAAAATCACCAAATGTCTTTTGATATGACTTCCTTTTCATATTTTCTATTTTTCTATGCAATATCCTTCTATCTTTTTTTTTTGTTTATTTTTTTTATTTTTGTTTCAATTATCTTCGGATTGATATTCGATTATTAAAATGTATTTATTTAATTTTAATATTATTATAAATGAATTAAAAAAGAGGTCTATCATGAGAAACAGATTTTATTAACTACCTAATGGGAAGCTATAATAGTGGGTCTGATTTTGCGAATCCCAAATTTCGACATATCTTCACGTTTCAAGATCTCGATAGTCGAATACGACCGTTTTCCAGTAGATGCTGTGTGTGTGTAGGTGCGTAGGGCCATACGTGCGTTTGGAATTATTTTTATGCTCGATTATTTCGAAAAAAAAATGATATCGACGTGGGACCAACTGCATTCGACTCAACTTAAAACTGATTAGGTTTTCAGCAAAATCACCCCAGCTTTTTTGTAGAATCAAAAAACCGGAAAAAAGCTAAATCAGAGCACTGATATTTTTTGATTTGGCTTAATTGTAGTGTGAATACTTGCAAGTCTTTGCTCCCAATTATAAAAATAGAGACTAAATTGAGCAAAGTCGAATGAAATCCGTTTAATAAAATCTTTTAACAAAATAAGTCTTGTTCATTTTTCTTTTTTTTTGAAGAGTAATATTCGTTATATCTTCAATTAATGGTTCGCAGCTTTCCAAAATCATAAGAAAAGTACAATTGTTATGTAATGAAGCTTGTATGTAGAATATGCAGATTTTAAAAATAAATATTTACAAATTTAGATTGCATTCTTATGAGTATCGTTTGAAAGTATTATAAAATACATATTAATACGTCTTTGTAAAATACATTTTTTTATATACTTTATGGAATTTTAAATCATTCGAAGTTACGATGAATACGATTAATACCAATTTTAACCATTGCGTATAGCTTGTATTAAAGCAGATAGATTTTCTTCTTCCATTGCAGTCCTACATTTTGTAACAGTACTCATTGAAGTTCGGCCAACTGTAATAGTAAGAACAATTAACAGTTACATTGGTGCCTACCTATTTTTAGTTACAATTCAGTACCTCGGAATTTTGATGCATTGCGGATTACAAAATTCAATTCTTTAAGCGTTGCTGAAAATTCTTTAAAGTTATTTAGCCGAATTTCGTTTGTTCTTAACAAATCATGATTTAGCTTGTTGAGTTGTGAAAATCGCTTTTTCATACTGTCGATATCATTAAGAATTCGACTATCTTCAATTCTTATTAGAATATTTTTTAAAAACATGGAAATACCAGCTACTTCAGCTTGAAGTTTGATATCAGCATCTTTAAAATCTAGAATAAATGCAACTGATTTAGCATTAAAATGACAATTAATCAATTAATTTATTCAAATTTTTTCTTCGTAGATATAGTTAACTAATCATATTCAAAGAGTGAAATTTTAACAGAAAAAAATACCTTTAACTTTCAAAAACTTTCGAGCTAATTTTTGTTCTTCATTTATAAATCTAGCTTGAGAGTTAAGTTCAAAAATACCAAGATACGTCGCCAATGATTGAATTATTTCACCAGCAAATTGTAAATTTTCTGTTTGAATACTGGCTCTTCCAGAAGAATTAGCACGAATACAATGAATTTCATTATTCCTCACATCACGGAACCAAGCCTCAATAAAATTTGTTTTTGAGTTATCTTCGATTATTTTCAATTCTTCTGTGAGTAAGAAATTTTGATCTAACCATAGTGCTACACGTTTTATTCGTTCGGAAATCTAAAAAATTTCATATATTTATGTATAATTAAGAACAAGTCTATATTGATATCAGAAGAATTTTTATCGATTTATAATGTGATTATCGAACTACAAATATATATACAGTCAGACTCCTCTAATTTCCGAAATTCGAGAAACATGATTTTCGAAATTAGACTAGGTACAACTGGCCAATTGAGGACGGACTCGTAGTGGTATGTCGTAAGGCCTCGGGCTTGTGACATGTATCCCTGTGCCTGTTCTAGGTGCAGGTATACGCGTCTCGGGAAACGCCACCGCAAAGAGAGTAGAGTTATAATTTCGCAGAGTTATGCCCTAGTAGGCGAGGTACTCAATTTCCGTCCTTCAGACGGGGGAAGCGAGGCAATCCTTCTAGGATTATAAATAAAGAACTACATGATAAACAGTAACTGCTGTATAGTAGTTAGTGTATAGTGACTGTAGAAGCACAAGGTACGTGAATTTGTATAAATGTTTTCCTTTTTTTTACGATCACCTGTTCGTTCGATATATTATTTTGATTCAATAATATATAGCATGTACGAAAAATTAATAACGTTCGAAACATAATTTATTCATTACGGGATTGAAGATTAGCATGAGATATTAAAAAAAACTCTATTTTCAACTCAGAAGCATTGAAATAAGTAATATTGAATAAATAGTCTTGCTCAATATATGATATGTGACGACTCATTCAGAACTGGCTGTTTGTAAGCCTGACAAAAATCGATCTTCGAAAATACCTTTTCACCATTCTAAGGATTACGTATCTATCTTTAAATGAGGATTAACAGTTACTCTTCAATTTTCGCAAATCCTGACCTATTCAGTAATCGATTACTGAATTGATTATTTGAATCTCGAGCTCAGCTGATAACCCATCAGCGCCCTCATAACATGTACCATCCGAAGGCCGTAAACGTTGTCGACTGTCAGGGAGCGTGACATCCGTCCCCAATAAGATGTCAGTCAAAGGCATTTTTACAATCTTTTAAATTTAAATCTTTAAATGTATAATCTTACTGATTGTTAATCAAATTCTGTGATGCCCAGATTTTTTATCTAATGATCATTTTAAAAATAAGCTTTATTCTTTTAATCTTTTAAAATTGGTTTTTTTTTATTTTCAATCATTTAATATTCAATCAAATTATAAAAATTTTTCTTTTTTTTAATGTTTATCATTTCGTTGAACAGTCAACTTAAGAAATTAGGACTGGTAAGTTATCTTGCGTCGGTATAGTAGAAAAAAATTCAAAATGCTTATACAGAGAAAAGTCTTCTTTCTGGCTCATGTAATGTCATGTAATTCCTACTACATAAATAAGTATATTTAGGCTTATAATCTAATGATAATAACATTTTTATCTCAATGTTAACGTAATAACGTAATCCAAGTGAAAAAAATTTGAAAACTGAATTATTAAAAAGTTGAAAAACTTCAAAAATAATGTCTGTCAGTATTATTCTCTCCTTTAATAAACATAAACAATTTTCGTGCAACGAAAAAAAAAGTTTTATTACTTAAGTTTTTATAGAAATAAATCAATATTTTTCATGAATACCTTAATTTACCTGAATTTAAATATAAATATAATATGAATATAAATTTATTAACAAATTTTAATATAAATCACTACTCAATTCAATTATTTTAAAATAAAATAATCAGGGTCAATTAAAGAATTCAAAAATCATTCCTGAAGTTATAAGTATAACTTTTATTTATATTTAAGAAAATTTACATTTGCGTGTATCTCTCTAACTTTGGTTATCTACACTTCCAAATTATGAGCCACGTTGTCTCAGCTCCCGTCGAATATTTGTGCGTTCAACTACTGCCTACAAATATTCTGACAATGTCATCCTATATATAAATTGATATTATAACAAATGTGTTTTAATATTTACCCAAAAAATTACTTTTTTGTGTTGAAACTAATTGTCGTGTGAACTAAATTGAGTAATAATAAAAATTTAATAGGATCTTAATTTTATTTCTCTTCAATATATAATTTATTTGTGTGAAAATTTATTTTGTTTTTAAAAAAATATGTCATTAATGAAAAAAGAGTTTGAAATAAAAATTATATTGAAAAAAAACCTGTTTAAAAAATTTCATTACACGATGGAAGAAACTAACTTTATTAGAAAAGTTAAACCAAGCGTAAATTAATGATACAAATAATATATTTTATTTTATTTATAATTACGATAATACTAGAAGACTGTGTTACTGATAGTCAATTAAAACACAAACTAACTGAAGAAATAGCAAGTAATTCAGTAACTCAAATAATTGATGAAACAAAAAAAGGAAATATATTGAAGAAAAATTCAATTTAAAAGTAAAGTATTTTTTTATTATTTTGAATTGTGTAATTGATATTGTAAAGAAATTAACTCAATATAACTTGATGTGGTATATCTCTAACGATAAAAAATATCGATATAAGTAATTGGTTTTGAAGAAAATTATGCTCCATTTCAAGAAGATCAATCTAATATTTATTTTTGGTAAGTAAAGTTGCTATTAAACAGTTCAAAATTCAAAATCATATAAGCATTTTGAATTTTTGATTGAAAACAGTGTAATTACTGTCATCTATCAGAAAACAGTGACACTAGTTGAATTTTTTTTCTACTATACCGACGCAAGATAACTTACCAGTCCTAATTTCTTAAGTTGACTGTTCAACGAAATGATAAACATTAAAAAAAGAAAAATTTTTATAATTTGATTGAATATTAAATGATTGAAAATAAAAAAAAACCAATTTTAAAAGATTAAAAGAATAAAGCTTATTTTTAAAATGATCATTAGATAAAAAATCTGGGCATCACAGAATTTGATTAACAATCAGTAAGATTATACATTTAAAGATTTAAATTTAAAAGATTGTAAAAATGCCTTTGACTGACATCTTATTGGGGACGGATGTCACGCTCCCGACTGTCAGGAGAAGACTTATTTGTTGTTGCACATCGATTGTCGATCAGTTGCTGAGAGACATTCATTTGATGCGTGACTGTTACTCATCTAACGTGCTCATTCAATGACGCCGACTTTTTTTCTTATTTTTGTGCTCACGAATTCAACTCAGTAACTCATAGAATTCATAATTAAAACTCATTGCATTAATTATCACTCAGTATTCATAAAGCAGCATTCAATAGAACTCAAGTGAACAATGCGACCTTACAACCCACGTTCTCGTGTACTCAATTCATTCATTGGACTCACTGTATTTTTTTGGTGTTCATTAGTGTTCATTCAACATAAATTATTATTGTATCTGTGATAATACTTTTGTTAGTGTTGTCTTTTAATTAATAAAGGATTAATTTTTCTAATTAACTATTTTATACCTTCGATCGAATCACCTCAGAAACCCTGTATTTATCGTTCACTCGACATACCTTTACAATATTTTTTAAAAACAACCGCTATAAGTGTTGCCCAGTCAAAACTGTCTGCTGGAAATAAAGTATTTTTTTTTAATTGACGAACAATTTCAGCCTTTACTTTGTCTTTAATCGCATAAGACAATTATCTAGGTTACATAAATACTGATTTAGCAGTTTCTTTCAAATTCAACTTCATTGTTTTCTGACAGACAAACAAACGGGAACATTCAAAGACGGTCAAATCAGTTCTTGTTGTCCAGAATCATCAGTTTTGTGTCAGTGTGCCTCACGGGCAGTCACATGTACAGCACACTATAGGACAACTCAACTGTACTTGTATACCTGTCACTACAGGCTGGTTTCTTGGGTGATTCTTATAATTTTAGTGTACAGACAACTTATTAATTTAATCAGTACATCATTATAAGTGTAGATTCAAGTGTTGTTTGGTGAATAAAAAAACACAATAAAGCATTTCAGTGACTCAACAATTATTCTAAACCTAGACCTTCTCGAACTCAACCTTTTTCGTTCTTAATATAGTCCACAAACATTATTTTTCTCATTCAGCTGACTCGAAATCAGAATACCTTGTTTCTTGTGACTTTTAATCACATGAGTATTGTTCATTGCGTTTCTATAAACACACATCTCAATTTCATCTTTAGCAAAAGCTTCAAGAGCAATATCCATTTCAACGGCTCTTTTAAAAAAACGGTTTACTTCTCTCAATAACCACTTTTTAATATCATCACTTCTTAAGTCCCATACTAGCTGATCTTTCAGACAACTGTCTAATTGATTTTAAAAATTACAAGTTACATACACTCGGCTTTATTAATGCCTGGTGTATTCTTGGAGAGCAATTACCGACCGCGGGTATTATTTTTTTTAAATTGAGTTTCTAATCTTTTTTTCTAAGTTTTTTAAGCTTGTGCTGAACTCAAAAAACTATGAAATTTGTGATTACAGTTGAAAGGTCTGCCGTCAATAATAATAATCAACGAAAATTTTTTACGAAATAAATAATTTATAAATTTCTATTATCATGTTTGCTCGGCCATCTCAATACCGAGACATGCAAGATAAATAACTAACTACTCTTTTTTTAACGAATTTCTGTTAATTGTTGTTAATGACGACATAACTTTATACCCTACTGATATGAAAAAAATTATACTATGTACTGAAACATCATATTTTTAATGTTATTTTAATTTTTATACTTTTTCCAATTTAGCTGAAGTTAAAATTTCTAGTTCGGAAACTCAATGTAAAAGAAAAATCATACCTGCGGTTGGTAATTGCTCTCCAAGGATACACCAGGCATTAATGAAGCCGAGTGTACGTACTTTTTAAACTTGCCCATAGCCTTTGATGTCTTTATTTTTATCTTCGAGTCAGAACGAGGGAGAACGTCTTACGTTCTCGGGGTGATCGTGTCTTACACGAGTCTTAGGGGTTATCAGGATAGTAGTGTATAACACTTACTTTCCTAGTGCTACTGGTTCAAGAGTCTTACTCTTATTCCACCCGGAGAATGAATGTCCTCAGTGCCTCGCGAGCTTCGATTTTATACGACTTTTCCTCACCAGTTTACCTTCGACTATCGGCGATTATGAGAACTAGTGTTTGGTTTACTACTGAGTATATCTATATATGATACTCACTGAAGACATCCAAATGATTAAAAGGGAACTAGGAAAAACTTTAATGATAAGTATGAAATCTATTTTATTAATTTTTTTAATGTCACTATACTTCCTAGATTCCGCTGGTTACCTCAGCGGTCTTTTGTATTCTCAACATTAGCTTAAGACAGGGAGCAAGAGAGTTTGAGGAATTTTGAGGTCCATCTGTGCAGAGTCTTTTGCTCAGGTAAAGTTGTATTTAATGGAGTGTCACCCGATTCTCTAAGGGCATCGGAGTGGCAATAGTACTTTTTTATACCATTCAGTTATCAGTACGAGAGCTTACACCTTTGACAGTCCTCTAAGGAGCCCTCCGCTCATCGTGGTAAGAGAAATGACTATATTACAAATGGGTCTTGTTTCGGTCGGGAATCGAGCCCGCTATCCATAGTACGCGACGCTAGTAGATATGTAGTCTGGCTTATCCGACCTTACCGACAGTGCCGGTAATTTACCACCTAAGCCGGCAACTTACCGACTGTGGGCGTAGTTGCCGATTTTCCTGCTAGATGGCGCTGTACCGATCTGCAGTCGGTAATTGTTACCGATCTAGGCAGCGCTGCTGTTGTGGCGGGAAAAAATTCAAATTCAAATTTTTTTAAAAATTATCTGCCGGTAATTGTTATTGATCTCAAGCGGTAACTATTATCGATCTTCTCTACTAGATTGCGCTGTTATGGCGGGTAAAAAATTCAAATTTTTATAAACTTTTGTCGGTAACTGTTGTTAATTACCAGGCGATAACTGTTACCAACCTTCACTACTTAATAGTGTTGTTATTTTGGCGGTTGAAATTTGAATTTGAATGTTAATTAATACCATTTTCCTCCGTTCTGTGGCGCTGCTGTTGTGGCGGGTGCAAAATTTGAATTTTTTTAAGAAGAACTTAGCAATTAATTGGTTGTTCGTTAGAGGGTGCTGTAAATAAATGTCAGCAGATATTTAAATTTGGAAAAATTTATTTTATAATCATTTACATAAATTTAATTGTATTTTGATGACATAATTAAGTGTAATTTTGTTAAATTGATTGACTTGCTTTGTAGAATCCTCTGAGATGTTGTCTTCTTGCTTTGTGGAATCCTCTGTGATGTTGACTTCACGTTTTTCGTAGAAGAATTTGAAATCATCGCAGTCGCCACCAAAGTATTGCAGTACTAATCTATCTTCCTTTATAAACGCCAGTATGAGTTCAAATAAAATATCATCTTCAAAATGCCGTTCTGGAAAAGTAACATTGAATTCATCATCCAAACTTAGTATGATTTTACACTAGTAAACTGTCGTTAACTTTGTCACTTTGTATTTTTTTGATGTGTTTAATTCTGTTATTTTCTTCATTGGTTTTTGAGTATTATTTGCAGTACTGGCAATGGTATCCATATTTACTTCAATCAACAATTCACTAATCAATGTTCTTCAATTTCACTCAATCGTGTACACTTAGATATGTGTTTATTGATTTCTGTAGCTGAACTGACTTGTTGGAAATCTGTTCTGTTTTATATATAGCCCTTACTCTAGCGGTCGATTTTCATAAATTTTATTTCTATTGTTCTTTGTTAGCTTTTTCAAAACAAACGACGTCATAGGAGTTTCTTTCTTTTTTGTTTATTACAATATTAACAGATGGCTGGTTTCATAGAAAAGATGTGACGTCATAAAATTTATTGCGTTTAAAAAATTTAAATAAAGTACGTTTGTAAAGTCGTATCAATCAGTTTGGAACCCTTGAACCGGTAACATCAAACCTACATAATGGATATCTTCGTTGACATTCAGGAATTCAAAGCTCCTCCAAATCAATTTGTTGTGGAAGAATTTGCAGTAATTTTATTAAAGGAACATTACAAAATCAGTTGTGTTTATTCTTTAAAGAACCATTCAATTGGAAATTATTACCGCAGAAATTTCAATTAATAAATCAGTGGTATACTCGCAATTACCATGGACTTCAGTGGGATTCTGGTGATATGGCATATAAAGATATGCCGGGTGTAATTGTTGATGAGATAGGCAAAGCTAGTCGAGAAAAGAAAGAGTGGATGCATCAGTTTGTGAATAATCGACAAACTGTGATTAACTTTGAAGATTTGAATTGCCCATCATTACACATTATTCCAGATTTTCCAAGATGAAAACATGCTTCTTCACATCATGGACCAAGTTTAGCTTCAAATTGTGCATAAAAAATGTACGGAAAATGAAGATGTGGTTTGATTCTAACTCAATCAACAAGATGCGACCAGTGCTGAGAAAGCTCTACGCTAGGATGGATTTTAATTGCTTATCATTGGATGAGATTCATATGTTACCAGAAAAGTTTCTTATATACTTTGAAAAAGAAATTGAAAATATGAAAAACAAATCGATTAATTCATAATGTAATTTTTACTTATATAAAATTACTTTATTCAGAATTATTACACTATCTTATACTTCAAATATTTAATGGATGTATTTTACTTTGAATATTATTATGTATTATGTCTGATTTTCAATAAATGTATTTAAATAAATCAACTTCATTTATGTATTTAATTTTTCTGAGGTTATTCGATAATATTTACATCGAATCTTAAGTTCAAATTAACTTTACATCACTAAAAAGCCCGGGGAAATTTAAGTTTTCAATAAACCATCTGGTAGGGGGAAACATTTGCATGATTTTGAGTTGGTCCATCTGCCCTCTAGTGACTGAAGAACAGAAAATTTTTTTTTTTTTTTATTCAGCAGTTGTTACACCTTCCACTAGAAGGCAGGCTGGGTGGAAGTCATAGAAGGGACAATCCCCCTTCACTGACTAATACCCTTTTATGTCATACATTTACAAAAATATACATATATAAAGTACTCATATACACTATAGAAAAATATTATTTTATATGGTAGTACAAACTGTTGTTTGAACATATCAGGCGGTAACTTTAAATCAAAAACATAAGTTATATTGTTACATAATACTGCTTTAAAACTAACAAACTAATTTTTTTTCTTTTGTACCATTTAACTAGTGGAATATTCATAATAATTATATATAGATAAAGATAAAGATGAAATAACTTATATAAACACCTCTATAGAATTGATAAACTTTGCTAGCGCTTCAACAATTCCATATGACATGGAAGATAAAAAGGATTTTATACAATAAGGGGGAAAACACTTTAATCTCACTAAATCTCTAAGAAGGCACTTTCTTACTTCTTCAAACCTTTGACATTGCCAAAATATGTGATTATCATCTTCCTCATACTCTCCACACACACATGTACTTCTTGAAATAATATTAAACCTGTTCAGACTAGTGGCTAACGAAGTGTGACCACTTCGGATTCTGTTTATAGAAACTATCGATCTCCTCCTGAAGTTGCATTCGTGAAATCAAGGGTATCTACTTTCTTTGTAATAACAATTAAAATAATGAATACCCGTGACAAGAGGCCATTGAGATCGGTCTGACTTTCTCACTGTTAGCTTTTGGTATAAAAAATACCGAATAATTTTTCCAATCCTCAGGAAACTCTCTCGAACTAAAAATTTCGTTATACAAGGTCAATAAGACCTGACGAACTGATGACGGAAGTCTTTGAAGAATTACATAGTCGATTCCATCCATGCCAGGACTCGACTTAAGTTTTACATTATGAATAGCCACATCCAGTTCTTGCCTAGAACACTCTAGATCCAGAAACGGATCTCCTAATGTATTTTCTACATCTGGACCTTCACCTTTACACCATGCCGGACATAACTGCTCAATTACTTCTTTTGCGTTGTTAGTAACCTTCTCTTTGTACTGATGTGCCGTAGAAGAACAATTCCATCTGCTTTTAAAGGCTTTTATCTTCTTCCATATGTAAGACTGACTAGTGTTTCTTGAAATTGACTCACAGAACCCGATGAAACTATTTTTCTTTATTTTCTTTAAGCTTGTCTTAGTATTTTCTTTTGCCTCATTATACTCGACGAAATTATCTGATAAGAATCTTGCCTTCATTTGTAAGAATTTTGCTCTCCGAACTCTGAGGAGCTTATCGCACTCCCTATTCCACCATGGAGAAGAACCACCTGCTGATGAGTGAACCCTTGACCTTCTATTATTTTTCCTACATGCGTTGGATTGACTACGTTGATTGTGTGGGGTAGCCTTTAAACTACATCGAGTTAAAAGGTTAACAAAATCATTATATTTGCCTTGCGTACAATTTCGTTCATTTCTCACAACTTCTTCAAAAGCTTGCACATTATTCATGATATTATCATCAAATACAGCCCAATCAGTTCTTGCGTTATGAATCCTATATGAAATGTGATTTTTACCTCCAAAATCTGGTCTTTTATTTAGAATTATGGAAATAGGAAAGTGGTCGCTTCCCCAAGAGTCGTCCAAAACCCTCCAGTCATATGATGCAAAAGTTCTGTGATCCGCAAAGGATAAATCCAAACTGTCATACTTCATAGCGTCTCTCCTCTTGAAATAAAAAGTAGGACTCCCATCATTGAGCACCCCGAGCACCGAATCATCCAAGGCTTCCCTTACTAAATGACCTACTGTACAACAATAAGCACTGCCCCATAAATAGTGATGGACATTAAAATCACCCCCTACAAAAGATCTGACCCCAAACTGATCGAAGAAGCGTATCCACTCGGCCTCACGAATGCAAGCATCTGGAGCTCTGTAACAAGAAACAAAGAGGTACCATTCTTTTTCAATTAAAAGCTCTACAGCAAGGATTTCTATCTTACCATTACAATCATAAATGTTATTAACTGTCCGATACTTAAATCCGTTCCTGATTAGAATGGCCACTCCACCACCAGCTTGAGCAACTCTGTCTTTCCTCATTACATCAAAACCACGTACATAAATGTTCTTGTCCATGTTTAACCAGGTCTCAGATAACAATATTAAGTCATATTCCCCAGCCCTAAACTAAAGTTCTGGTAGCTTCTTCTCGATACTTCTACAATTCCATTGGATAATCCTAAGGTTGTTTTTGTAAGGCTCCATTATTTAGAGAAATATGTAATGAAATAACTTTCCATAACCGTGGCCATAAGTTAGTAATGTCTGGAACCTGAGGAATAGCTTCGAGAAGCTCTTCAAGTGCAATCTTATTCTCTTCTGATATTTCTTTTTCTCGTGGGTTTCTATCAGCTGATAATTTTTTTTTTATATCGTCTTTCATGACCACACTAGCATATGACGCTTCTTCGATATTGGGAGACAGCCTTGGAAAATGATGTAATGATCTCTCAGGAAGCAGGTTCCTTTTAACATCATCTTCGTACTTGTTTCTTGCATTAATAAAGGATATATTCTCCCTACCCATCATTTGGCTAATTTCTCTTAACTTTATCACAACTATGCAGTCTTTGCTTAAACTTTTGTGCTCACCATTACAGTTCACACATTTAGGTGTTCTATTGCAGTCTTTAAAATTACCATGCTTATCTTGTCCACAGTAAAGACATTTTTCTTTGCTTTCTTCACAAAAATTACTGTTATGTCCCGTTTGACCACACTTAAAGCATTGTCTTATATTTGGAATAAAGTAATCCACCTTAACCTTGCAGTTCCACAGTGTAATAGCTTTGGGAACTTGACTACTTCGAAAAGTGACACATACAGGAAAGGTATCACACCAGTCTACCTTGCCTTCTGAAAATACTTTCCGTCTTAATCTGTATGCATTCACGCTTCTAGGATTATTGAAGTAGTTATTAATCTCACTTAGCAGTTCTTTAATATCTACATCTAAAGGTACTTCTCTAACAATTCCTTTACAAAATAGTTTTTCACGAGGTATGTAACTTTCCCAGTTATTCTTTTTAAGGAACTCATTTACTAAGGCACTATTGGCTTCTTCAAAACTTTCAAAAGTAATTTGCCAAATATTTCTTGAGAATTTTTCCAATAAATTAAACTTCTTGATACCAAACAATTTTAACAAACGAGCGACTTCAATATTCATAAGGCTTTTCTTCTTTTTAGGATCATCATCTTGCACTACTTTGGTCATAGAATCACTGTCTTGAAATATTTTCTTCTTTATATACACTATGAATGGCCCTTTATCTAACCTGTTGTAGAGTACTTGACCGCTCACAGGACTAGAAACCTGAACGTTATTATTAGAAGAGCTTGAAAAAACCCTGCCGCTATTTCTACTGCTACCAAGCTCAACATTTTTTATCTCAGTCTTCTTCCTCTTTACAGTCGATACCTCCAGATCCTCTTGACTATACTCTTCGCTGCTAGATCTTAATCTATGATTGCTTCTGCTTCTACTTTTTCTTAATTGACTATCACCTTCATTATTATTTCTTTTACTGTCTTCATCATCTTTCTTATTCTTTTTTTTCTTTTTTTTCCTCTTGCTTATATCAAAATTGTCTTTATCTCCGATCAATTCACCATCCAGCTTATTCAAAAACCTAACCTCTTCAGAGGTTAGATTATCGTCTATCAAAATATTTGTATCTTCCTCCATCACTTAACCAATATAATTTATTCCAAACAAACAAGCAAGAGATACTTTTATGATATTTAATTAAAATTTAATTATTAAAAACTGCTGACATATATTAAATTATGACTTCGATAAAATTCCGGAACCACAAGTCGTTCACAGAAAAATTTATTTATCGATATACATACCTGCCCTCTAGCGACTGAAAAACAAAATATCGATCTATAGATGTACATTTCTGCCCTCTAGTGGCTCAAAACAATATTTAAATTCCCTGTGAATTGTGATGGGTTACATTTAAAAACCACTCTTTTAAATTCACATTCAAATATATATCAATTGAATGGAACAAATGATGCTTTTAATATCTTCTACTATCTTTTTTCGTTTTGAATTTTATTACTCTATTTAAATAAAGTATAATCTTAAATGATTTTCAATATTATCTATAATGTTTGTTCTTGATTTAAAATAATTATTCAAACCATAGAATAATGTACTCAATAACTTAAATATTTTTTTAATATTTTATCATTTAGAATTAAGAAATTATTCATTTACAATATGTAGTTGAATTAATTTCAATCTAATTCTTCAAGAAGTCTCATGCTGTAGAAAATATTTTCATTATATATTATTTCTTGAATGGAATATTGATAAATTACAATCAAACCTGTAAAACATACATAATTTAACAATTATTCCTTACATATGTATGTAATTTACCTATTTCATATCATGTATAATTTAAATGGATGAATTTATCAATATAAACATAATATATATAGGTATGTAACAAATACGTCGGTAAACCACGTGCGTTTGTTTTCATATTTATGTTTTAACAGGCACAAGCATGAAAAAGATAGAATGAACGCAATCGTCACCTTAAAAATTGATCCAAATGCTAAAGTATGGATATTCGCCAGGGTGCTAACTTTCAACCACGGAATCATTTCTGCTGAGCAAGTAAATCCACAACCAGTTATTACCAATACATCTCTTCCACACACAATTGAAAGGTAAGAAATTGAATATTGATTTAATTTTTCATAAATCACTACAAAATATTGTTTATGTGCAGCACATATATTCAACCGTGGTGTTTTTTCTACACAATCATTATCCCTTTCCAATGGATTGGTGTAGAACTTGTAGAAGAAAAAATAAACTACGCAATGGAACGACATGGCAGAGAACTACGTGGAAATACCCATTTTATTTGCCTTAATAATGTTATTGCAAGACTAACGTGTGATGACAGAAGCTGTGAGTAAATGGTTGGCGATTGAAAAAAGGAATATTGCTACATTAAAAAGGCAATTACGAAACAATATGACAGTTGGTGAAAAAATGAGAATACAGTCAACCATCTTAATTTTAAATTCATTAACTGAAAAATTCATTTCTCAACAAAACTATATACAAGGGGGTGATCTCCAACATGACGTAGAAAGACCAAGTCGATCAGTGGTTTGGAGAGAAGAAGAAAATGTATTTGAATATCGTATCTCTACTGGATCAATTGTTAATTTAAAACACGTGAATTTAAGTGATTTTCTTGATGATGCAAAAGCAATTCTTTGTGAAAAATTTAAACAAATAATTGACAATAATGGCAGCATAAAAGTGAACTTTTCTTTGGCGTGTAAGTTTAATAATATCAAAGATGGTGAATTCATTGAAGAAATAAAATATTTCACAACGCCAAATGAACTATTTATGCCATCAAGTGACATAGAAGGAATTATAGTGGAGAAAGTCATTGATGTTTTATTAGCAAAAGTTGAGGACTTTGAAGAGCGAGATTCAGGATGGTCCATGGTGGAAATCATTCATCTCCAAGTCAATATTAATAGATATGATCCATTAGCAGCAGCAGGAGAATCAACTTGGATTGCTCTACCACAGTTCATTCAAAATAAAAATTCAAAAATCATCAAAATAAGGAACAAGTTCCATTTGTTGTTTATGCTGATCTGGAATGCATTCTTGAACCGGACGATACTAAACAGAAACATATTCCATGCAGTGTTGCTTTCTATGCTCATTGCTCATTTGATAAACCTAAATCTTATTTTTCATTGAAACGCGATGTAGATTGCATTGATTGGTTCATTGGAGAATTAAAAAAATTATCAGAACATGTAAAAGACACTATTAAACATGTTGTGCCAATGAAACCATTAACTTCCCAGCAGCAGAAAGCTCATAATGATGCTAAAAAATTTCATATTTGTAATCAAAATTTTTTAAATAAAGAAATTAAAGTTCGAGATCATTGTCATTTCACAGGTGCTTATCGTGGTCCTGCACATAACAGATGTAATTTAAATTATCAATCTTCTCACATCATTCCTGTTGTTTGTCACAATCTGTCTGGATATGATTCTCATTTTTTAATTAAATCATTGGCATTAACATCATTTGAAGGTAAAGTCGAATTATTACCAATCAATAAAGAAAAATATGTAGCTTTCACCAAAACAGTTGGTAAAGATGAAGAAAAATTTCGTAGAAATAATAGAAAAAGAACTTGTGAAATAGTCATTAAATTGCAATTCATAGATTTATTTAGATTCATGGCTAGCAGTATTGATCAATTAGCATCTTTTTTAGATAATGACAAAAAAAATATCACTAAAAGATTTTACAATGATCTGGAGAAATTCAAATTGGTAGTGAGAAAAGGTGTTTTCCCCTATGAATATATAGAAGACTGGGATAAACTTAATGAAACCCAGCTTCCTGCTCAATCAGCTTTTTACTCAAAGTTGAATAATGCAAACATTTCAGATGAAGATTATCAACATGCACTCACTGTATGGAATAAGTTTCAACTTCAGACTTTAGGTGATTATTCAGATTTATATTTGAAGACTGATGTTTTACTATTAGCAGATATCTTTGAAAATTTTCGTGAGAATTGTGTAGCTGCTTATAACCTTGATCCATTACATTATTTAACTGCACCAGGTCTAGCTTTCGATGCTATGTTAAAATACACAGAAATAGAACTTGATCCTTTACAAGATGTTGAAATGTTGAATTTTATTGAGAAAGGTATAAGAGGAGGTGTATCTCAATGTAGTAATAGATATGCAAAAGCTAATAATCATTATATGGGAGATAAATTTGATCAAAACAAAGATGAATCATATCTGATGTATTTTGATGTGAATAATCTTTATGGTGCTGCAATGAGTGAATATTTACCCACTGGCTCATTTGAGTGGGTTACTGATAATTTTGATTTGAATAACAATATTGAGAATTTAATTTTAAATATTCCTAAAAATTCTTCTACTGGCTATATTTTTGAAGTAGATTTAGATTATCCACAATCATGACATGAACACCATAAAGATTTACCAGTATGCCCTGAACATTGGCAACCACCAGATAGCAAATGTGAAAAGCTGATGACAACGTTATTGCCAAAGAATGAATATGTAATACACTATAGAAATTTACAGCAATGTATTGAACTTGGTTTGAAAATTACTAAAATTCATAGAGTTTTACAGTTTAAACAGTCAGCTTGGTTGAAAAAATATATTGATTTGAACACAGAAATGAGAAAAAAGTCCAAAAATGATTTCGAGAAATACTTTTTTAAACTTATGAATAACGCTGTTTACGGAAAAACTATGGAAAATGTGCGCAATGATAAAGATATTAAATTAATTACAAAATGGGAGGGAAGATGGGGTGCACAGTCTAATATCACAACCGAATTTCCATAGCAGTGTCATTTTTGATAATGATATGGTTATTATTAAAATGAATCAGCTTGAAATAAAGTTTAATAAACCAATTTACGTAGGTTTTGCAATTCCCGATTTATCAAAGATTTTTATTTATGATTTTCATTATAATTATATTAAGGAAACAATTAAAAAATATCAGTGCTCTGCAGTGGTCTGGGTGCGACCCGACAGGTCCACACGACCAACTTCCCAGTGGAAAAAATGAAAGAACACCCCGAATAGAACCCGTTTCCATTCTTTATAACAAATGGAATTGTTATAAACAAAATGAGTGTGTTTTTATTCATTTGATATGGTTAGTTACTTTATTTCAGTAAAAGGAAAAATTGTGCGTTAGAAGAATTCGAATATACCTCATAAATCTTTTTTTTCATTATTTACAACAAATTTCATTGTTATACACGAAAAAAGTATGTTTTCATTTATGGCATACGGTTGGTAATATTATTTTAGTAAAAGAAAAAATTATGCGTTAGAAGTACTCATATATATAGAAAGGGTCCCTATTTTTATTGTTTATAACAATTTAAAACTTATTATTTAAATATTACTATGATCAATAATCATTTTTTAGTAATAATGTTCAATTGTTATGAACACAATTTCATATTATTGACAATTATTATTGACTATGATAGCGTCTTTAATGCTGTTTTCTTAATCCTGAAATACAGTCATCATATTTCTGTACAATTATTCTAAACATTTGATATTCATATTTTTCAAAAGATCTCGAAATTCCGTCTAGAAAATGGTATAATTTATAAATTGCAGAATTTAGGTAGTTCACTATTTTTTCTGTTTTTTGATTCTGCATAAAAAATGGCTGGACCGATTTTGCTGAAAATCAGTTCTAAGTTACGTAATTACGCGTCGAATGCAGTTGGTCCCACGTCGATATCATTTTTTGTTCTCGAGATAATCGAGGCGAAAAATAATTCCGAACGCACGTACGCACATACGAACATACGCACATACGCACACACAGACGTCCACGTAAAAACTATCGTATTCAACTCTGGGGACCTTAAAACGTGGAGATATGTCAAAATTATCGATTCGCAAAATCGGACCCATTACTATAACTTCCCACTGGGAAGTTAATAATGTTAAATTGCTATATACTGATACAGATAGTTTAGTTTATCATTTTATGAATGTTAACATATATGACTATATAAAACATGATATTCATATGTATGATACCTCTGATTATCCAGAAAATAATGTATATGGTATTCCTAGGAAGAATAAGAAGGTACTAGGTTTAATGAAAG